TCAAGCACGTTTTTAGAGCCATTGGCGTGCCGAACAGATCTAGACAATCGCGAATTTCGCTTGTAAATTATAAATTCATTTTTTTACTAGGCGTCGTGCTCGGTGTCGTCCTCGTCGTCGCTTAAGCTCCCTAATGTTTTGCAGAGAAAGGCAAAGAAATGTACCAAGAATTATAATGCACGTGTACAGCCATTGTTCTCCTCATTAAACCTTTTGTTTGGTGACGTTCTCGTTGCCGTTGCCGTCGTGTTTTGCGTAAGGTCCCTAATAATGTGAGGCCCCATCCACACTACGCTGGAGAAATTTGAAATCAGAGGTTTCACTCTGAAAACGCATCAAATTGTTTCCACACGCCGGAGAAATTTGAAAACGCAACAATCCCCGGTCATTTTGGAGTTGCGTTTGAGGAATTCTCGGGTAGGGAAATATCATGACTATCGTAGCGTTATCGTTTTCGAAAAGCTTCGTTTTTAAAATGTTTTCCGTTCACACTAGAATGCAAAGCCAGCGTTTGCAAATTCCTCCAGTTTGAAGAGCGTTTTCGAAAAGCTCCTTTTTTGTGACGGATCAGTGTGGATCGTAGGCCTAAACGGCGAAATAAAGCTGCGTATTTAAATTCCGTCGGCGCAGTGTTGAAGGGGCCTGAAATGACCAAGTTCTAAGGATTTTGGAGAACATGATACGAGGACTAATTTTTCATAGTTCCGTTTGGAATGGCTGGTTTGCAGTGTCACGCCATCAAAAATAAAAATCATAACCATTCAATAAATTAAGTCAAGAAGCTGGGATGTGAAAGATGATTGATATATAAACCTCGCCAAGACTTAGGTCTGTGCACGTTTTCATTCTCCCGTTATTCGGAGAAGTGTTTCACTTAAATTTATAGAGCTTTGTATGAAGTCGCCATGTTTCTGCTCCTCGGAGGGACACAAACATGGCGGCAGTAAAGTAACAGAAACTTCTGTCATCGAGTTTTGCCATTGAAGCAAAAAGTTATTACTCTAGAGCTCCGAAACATTAAAATTAAGGACGGTGCCTACTTTTGTTACTGCGCACACGTTCTGCGCATCACGCAAGGCATGGTTTAAGCGCCACGCGCGCGCTGGGT